TTCCCTACAGAATCTTGGGACATTATCCAAGATGTTCGGAGTTCTAGCATTTGCTCTTGCTAGTGGCATTCAGTTGATGTCAATGCCTACTTTTTATCCTCTCTAGCCTGGTCACAGGCGTGCTAAGAAGTTGTTCTCTTTCAATAAAGGACAAGCTCTTTTAGTAAATTCAGTACAAGGGAAACAGAAAGGTACCTGTGTCAAAAAGGCCCCTGGTAAATTTTCATTGAGTCAGCCCCTCTTGGGGCTGGAAGGTGGTGTGGTGGTTAAGGGCACTGTACTCCCACATAGCCTACTGAGGTTCAAGTACTGGACATGACGGCTTATTCTCTCACTTTCTCTCTCTCTCTCTCTCTTCCTGTGTCCTTCTCTGTTAAATAAATAAATTTAAATAAAATAATTCTAAGGGAAAAAAAAAGCCGCTCTAATGTAGCAACTAGTCAGTGCTGGAGGTCTCACCTGGAATGAAGGGGGAAATGGAGGAGAAAAGGATTTTGAAAACTATTCTCCCCCAAAGAGACTTCTCCATTTTCTGTGAAATGTATTTTAGCTCTGTTACTACTACACATCTGCAACTGCCCTAGACATTTCTGGCTAGCAATTGCATATTAAGATGATAATTTCTGTAATCAGTAATTCAGGAACAAAATAGTGCAGAAATAAGGTGGGTTGAAATGTATACAAAGCTATTGTAAACCTTAGCATCCCAGCTGCAATGATTTATTTTTCTCTTGAGACTTTCTGGGGGGAAATCATTTTCAGCAGTAAATCTGTTTCTCTGCTCCACCTTCCTGTTGGCGTCAACCGAGACTGACGCCAACGGGCTTCCTGCGCTTTAATTCATCTCTGCGGAGCTACTGCACTGGGGTCACAGAGAGGTTAGAGCAGATGCTCTTCTCACTGCTCCTGCTTAATATTCATTTTGGTTTTCTCTCAGGGGTTGCCACAGTAGGAAACAACCTAAGGGGACTTGAGGGTTTGGGGTTTGTACAGTGATTCTGGCTAGTCAGGTCCAATTCCCTTTTATCTTAACAGATAGGCAAGAACCTCAACCTCACTGTAAGGTCCTTCTAGGTAGGAATTACCTTGTCTATTTTCAAATCCTTGGGGCTTAGCATAGAGACTGTCCCATAGAAAATATATAACTTTTTGTTGATTAAGGGCAATGCTGAGGGTGTGGAAAACATGGCAACTGCCTGAGCAGAGAGCTATGGAGAGTTCTGCCTTGACCTAGAATGTCCCCAAACAGGACCATTCCAGTGGGGATGTAAATGCCAATAACCTCTATAGGCTGTGAACTTTTAGATTCTTCCAATGTTTCTCACAAGGCAAGTTAAAACAGAGGGAGTATAATGCAATGGAAAGGAACATCGGCTTCTGAGATCATATATTTACTCATCAAATGTGTACCTATGTTTTATTGTTCTAGCCTTTCAGGATATAAGAAGACACAAAACAGAAAAATTACTGCCCTGTGAAGTTTATACTCTAGTTGGTGGAGCCAGACAACACACAATAAAAAGAATGAGGTATGTCACAGGCTAGGATTTAGGTGCTATGGGGACAAGCGGAGTGAGAAAGGGGCATTGGAGTGCATAATTAAGAAGAAATCTCAAAAAGTACTTTCAGATGATGCAGGTGCTGGAGAAGGAATGATTGAGGTAAAGCTCAAAGGTGGGAGTTATGTCCTGGAGGAAAGCAAGGCAGCAAGTGGGCAGAGTGGAGTAAGCAAGGGGAGGCTGGGGAGAATCTCAGAGAGGTAACGGGGGTAGGGGGCACATCGTACAGGGCCTTGTGGGTAAGATGGGCAGGTTCAGCAAATTAAAAATCAAGAATTCCAGTGAAATTTGCACTTCAGATAAACAAGTACGATTTAAAGCATAATTCAACTATTGCATGGGATATACTTGAAAGTTACTTGCTCTTTACCTGAAACCCAAATTTAATTGGGCATCTTGCATTGTATCAGGCTACACTGCTGTGGGACATTATAACAAGGTCTCTGAACACAACTGGGAGGCACTGGAGGTGCTTGAGCAGAGGAGGGCTATCAGCTGCTTTAGAGCGTGAAAGGGCCTCTCTGCTTTGTGGAGAACAGAGTGCAAGAGGAAAATGTGAAGCAGGAGAGCCAGATGAGATTGTTGAAGTAATCCAGGTTCGACAGAGATTAGGATCAAGGTAGCTGGATTTCAGACACACTCTGAAGGTTTACCCAACAGAATTTCCTGGCTGACTGAATGTGGTGTATGGATGAGAAGAGTTGGTGATAACGCCAAGGATCTTGGCCTGCAAAGCTAAGGGTGGGAGTTGCAATCTACTGGGTTGTAGGTGGCTCAGTTTGGGGTGCAGATGGGGCAAAGATCATGAGTTCCACTGTGATGTGCTAAGTTTGAAAAGCCATGTGAACACCGAAGGGATGAGATCAAGTAGGCGCTTGAGTGTAGTTTGTGAGAGAGGGCAGGGCTGGTCTTTCAGATGTGGAAGACCTCAGCACAGCAGTGGTAATTAAAGGCACAAGACTGAGGAACTTGCCAAAAGAGTGAGGCCTGGAGACCCTCCAGCACAGAAGTCAGGAAAAAGAGGGGAACCAGAAAAGGTGCCAAGACTTGACTTAAGAGAAGGAAGCACTGGAGACACCCTGAAAGGGGAGAAGGGGTGTCAGAGAGGAGGAGTCTGTGTCAAATGCTACTGACAAATCAGGGAAGAGACCAAGTGCTAACTAGTGGATTTGGCAACATGGAGGTCACCAGAGACCTGGACAGGAACTGTTTTGGTAGAGGTCTGGATGAAATTGGAATGGGTTTAAGAAGAAATAGAGAAGCAGAATTAGAGGACAATACAGGCGACTCTTTAGGAACTGTCACATATTTAGGTTCTGCCACTTACTATGTGTGACTCTTGGTAAATTAATCCTCTGAACTTCAAGTTTCTCCCCTTGTGAAGAAGTAGTAGGGTTGTTATGGAGATTAAATAAAATAGGTAAAGGGCATGGCATGTAAGTTCTTAGTAAACAGATACTGGTACTAGTATGGCACGTTATTCATTTCTGTCACAGTGTATACAAGATACTCAACTTTTCTGTGCCTCAGTATCCTTATCTGTAAAATGAAAGTACTAACAGTACTTACCCCACAGTATTAAGGACTGAGCTAATCTACATAACAGCTCTAGAATGAACAGCTTGTGACACGTTCTCCGACCTCAGCGAAGCTCTTACAATCCAGGCAATTCTCCTGTGAAGGCTGGCCTATTCCCTACATAAAGGCGGTGCTTCCTAGAACAGGGATGTAAAATGTACAAAACAATCCATTGTCTTAGATACCATCCTTGTGTTACTGTCATCTAAACTTTTGTTGGCAGCTGTTTCCACTGCTTTGCAATTTGCAAAGTGCTATGCAGTTATTGGAACTGACCCGATATGAGCTAAGCCCGCTCACTGTACTACTGAAGTTGCTCACCTTTACTTGGGAGTGAAGTCCCAAGAGCTAATAGTTGCCTTCCATTTCCACAGAGACTCTCGGGAACAGTCTTACATCACAGGAGGCAGAATTCCTGCAGGCATTCTTAACCGTTTCTGAGAATCTAAAGCCATGAGACCCCTGCCAAGAAGAGTGTACGATCTAACAAAATGTAATACCCTAGGATAAGAAAATCCTTTAAAGACTCAAAATGTGCCTGAATTAGAAGAGTTTTACATTTTCCTACAACAGAAATGTCTAAAGAAGGTAAAAACATATTTTCTTGGGAAGGCCATATGACGAGAAGGTAAAACCCAACTTGGGGGCTGGACAGCACACAGCAGTAATGCGGCTATGAGGCTGAGCCCATGGGAGGGTGTGGGGTTCACATCTCAAGGCCTCCCTCTGAATACCTGGCACATACCCGCCTATGACCCAGGCTGGCAGAGGCTAGGATGGATCGTGCTGTGAAGATTTTTCTGTTAGAGGTGCTTGTTTCTCTCTCTCTCACACTCATGGAATAAATAAATAAACTTAAAAAAAAAAAAGAAGGTGATTTCTTTTTCTTAGAACTTTTTCAATGAAGCAAGACACAATTAGTTTTTGTAGCTTCCAAATGTGATCGGGGCCTTGGTGTTTTTCTATTACCTTCAAGGAACAGATATACAGTATTAAATAAGTTTTGCATAAAGGGAATAACTCTGTGGCAGTTTCCTGTAAGGTGAAATTGGAGAAATTTTACACCTTATGAGAATTAGTCTATAGGGTCTTCAGAAAACTTATGATGCATTTATGCGTAGAAAAATATGTCATAACTTTTCCAATGACCCAATAGACACTAGTTTCCAAAGAATTCACTTAGAAGTCACTTGACTTGTTCTTTCAAGTAAAAGGAGGAATTGGGTGAAGTGGCTCCAAGCTCTATTTCCAACTCTCAAGCTCCACCTTGCTATGAAACCCGAAGTAGCACAAAGGAAGGTTTTTAATTTAGCATCCTGCTGGACAACAGAACTCCTGCCCTACAGCACCACCTAGCAGCAACAAAAAAGCAAAATGAGAAGAGTAACTCCTCCCTTTGACTTTTTGAATAAAATGACTTTTTTTTGAGAGAGAGATTTTTACTATAGAGCACGTGTGCTTGCTGGAGAGGCAGAGACAGAGACAGAATGTGGGAAGTCACCTTCCAGGAAGTCATCCTAGGGATGGTCACACTGCAATCCCTACTCCTCCATTCTCCTCTCAGGATATCATGGGCGTGCACACACATGCGCCCAGCATGAGTCTCAAGCCGCTGAGTCTGGGACTTGAACAACTGTCCACTACATGGGAGTTCAGTGACATAACCATTATGCCATCTGCTGGTCCCCTGAATAAAACAACTTTGGAAAATCCAGCTTTGGTGAAATCCTCCCCTCATCAACTCTGGTCTGAGGAGTAACTGAGGGAGAATTCCTGGGCTTGTGATCTCCAAGCTGCAAACTCTGACGAGGGTTGCACATGCCACTTTTGCCTGCTCTCCCTTTGTAGCAGCAGCTCCTGAGAGTTCGGCTATAGCTATTTAGTCTTAACGGAAAGCAGTTTTATCCCTGGAGCCGTAGGGCCAATGAACTCTAGGCTCCACAATGACACCATGCTGCCCTGACACTCTAGATTCCTTTCTTGAATTTCCAACAAGAAATTCAATTTGGTTAAGGTTTCAAATCAAGGTTCCAACACTATCAGTTGATCTCGCCCAATCAGTGTCACCGTCTTAGCAAACAATAACGGTAGAGGCACTGCTGGGCATGCATCAATCCTCCCCATGTCACAGGCATTGGGTCCTTATTGTGAGAAGGGTGAAGGGTGAAAGTCATGATAATTCAGGCATATAATACCACCCACATTAAATCCTTATAGCATTTAGTGGGAAATACCACAATGGGAGGTAAAAGAATACAGAATTTAGATATTAGATGATCAAATTAGAAGAGCTGCAGTCATCTATCACCACTGTTTATTATTATTATTATTTAGAGAGATTTTTGCTATAGGGCACATGCATGTGCTCGCCAGATACAGAGACAGAGACAGAAAGCAAAATTACCGCCTCCTGGGGCAGGGGGATGGCCACACCGCAATCCCTTCTCCTCCATTCTCCTCTTAGGCATACATGCACATGCTCTAGGTGTGAGTTTTAAGCTGCCGGGTCTGGGACTTGAACAGTGGTCAACTACATGGGCGTCCAGTGATGTAACCATTATGCCATATGCTGGTCCCAACCTGTTTACTACTTAAAATAAAAATGCCTTTCTAACATAATAGTTCTCAACTTATTCCCACACTGTGTGTCCAAGGGATAACATGCCCAGATCTGCTCCAGGGGCTCACTGTGTCAGGGACACTGAAGAGGAAAAGCAGGTAGACTGTGGGCTTGATGAGAATGATGGCAGGAAGGACACAGGGCAGGGAGAAGATGGCAGCGTTGGTAGTTTGCAGTTCTCCCCATCCAGGCAGTCTGCTCCTTGAACTCCTTACCCTGAGAATCCCCACTCTAGGTCAAATTTAGTGAGAAAGGCCAGGACATGTATGTTTGTGGGCGGTTTCTTGTGCCTAGCTGGGTTATCCTCCTATACAGAGCTGTTCTCAGCTTCTGTGGCTCATTAGAATCACGTCGGACCAATTCTGTCATCAACTCTGGGGGAGTGTTCTAAGCACGGGAAGTTCTTGAAAGCTCCTCAGGTATGGGAATGCAAGGCCAGGCTTGCAAGCTGCTGCTCTGCCTGCTGTCTTGGTAATGGTTACTGGAATGTATTTTATTCTTCTATGTGAACCCATAACCTTCATGATCCTGTAGTCATCTAACAGAAATGCAAAGCTGGTGTCACTTTCCTTACTCATTTCTTCCTGTTTTTGTTTGTTTGTTTGTTTGTTTGTTTTAACTTTTTACATTTGCTTTAAAGCACAAGCACTCACCAGAGAAATAAGAGAGAAAGAAGGAAAGTGACAAAGCACCCCCCACCACCCCCCATGGAAGACTGTCACACTGCAATCCTCTCTCCTCCATTTCTCCTTTGAGGATTTTGGTAGCACAACTACATGTGCCCAGTGCATTTTTCAAGCTGCTGGGTCTGGAACCTGAACCATGCAGTTGCTCGTGTGTGATCCAGCTGTCTTAACTACCATGCCATGGGCTGGCTCCTTGCTCTTTCTTAAGTTGCACTGTTTTGCAACTAAAATTAAAAATTAAAAAAAAATTTATTTAAAAAATTGTATTTTCTCACATTACACTGAATTAGAAACAGAACAAAAACCTTACAATTTTATTCTTCAAAGTCAATATAAACTTTAAAAGCACTAATAGAAGAAAAAGCATTTCAGCTTTGCCTCTAAAATACGGAACAAGACAAAAATTCAATTTCACTGTTTTAAATTTTTTTAATTTAACTTTATTTATTCATCCATTTATTTATTTTAACTTGACTGGAGAGGGATAGCGTGAGAGTGAGAGCAAGAGAGAGAGAGGGGAAGTGAGAAAGCAAGCCACCAGGTCGGGGACCCGAACCATGATTAGCCATGTGGGAGTCCAGCACCTTCACCACCACACCACCTGCCGGCCCTAATACTGCTTTTATTCAACATAGTACTAAACCCTAGCCAGAATAGTTAGGCAAGATAAAGAAATAAGGAGGTAGTTTTATAATACAATAGGCACTGCACAGAGGAAGCCAAATCCAATATAGTGGACCAGGGTTTGACTCCCAGCCCTAGGGGCTTGAAAAATAAGCTGGGCATGAACATACATGTGTCCAGGATCCTGACTGGAAGGATAATTGGAAGAAAAGGATTACAGGTCCCATTGGGGGTTGCTTTCTCTCTGTCTCTCATGCATGTGCATGTACTCGCTGGCATTAAAAGAAAGAAAGAAATAAAAGGTATTCACTTGAAAAGGAGGAAATCAGATTGTCCCTGTCAACAGACAACAGGGTCTTGTATAAAGAAAATCCTAAAGAACATACTAAAAACAGACTAAACAAATTTAGTAAAGTTGCAGGATATCAATCAATATACAAAAATCACTACCATTTCTGCATGCTAATAGTAAACTATCTGAAAAGGAAATTTTAAAAATCTCATTTATGGGGCCAGTAGGTGGCATGGTGGTTAAGGGCACTGGACTCCCACATGGCCCGACCGTGGTTTGAGTCCTGGACCTGGCGGCTTACTTTCTTACTTCCCCTCAATCTTTCAATCTAACTCTGTTCCTCTCTGGTCAAATTAAAGATAAATAAGTAAGTAAACAAAGTTAAATAAAATATTATTAAAAAACTCATTTACAATCGCTATAAAAAAGATATCTAGAAATAACTGTAACTAATGGGAAGTAAATCCCATTTATCACAGCTATGAACAAATAAACAAAAGATACCTAAAGCAGAAAGATTTCTACAGTGAAAACTATAAAATACTGATAAAAGAAACCAAAAAAGACATAAATAAATGGGAAGATACCCTATATTCATGGATTGAAAGATTAAAATCTTCATGCTATTCAAAGGGATCTACAGATTTAATGCAATCTCTATCAAAATACCAATGACTTTCTTCACAGAAGAAAAAACAATCCTTAAATTCATATTGAACCGCAAAAGATTCTGTATTGCCAAATCAATTTTGAACAAAAAAGAACAAAGCTGGAGGTATCACATTACCTGACTTCGAAGTATAGTAGAAAGCTGTAGCAATCAAAACAGCATAGTACTGGTATAAAAAACAGGTACATAGATCAATGGGACACATCAGAGAACCCAGAACAAAACCCTACACATCTAAATCAAATGATCTTTGACAAGGTACCAAGAACACACATTGGGCAAAGGACAGTCTTTTATTTTATTTTTTTAGAGATTTTTACTATAGAGTGAATGTGTTCGCCACAGAAATAGAAAGATAAAAAATAAATAAACAAACAAACAAACAAGAAATCACCCACCCCCTGTGGGGAGGGGGTGGCCACACCGCAATCCCTTTTCCATTCTCTTCTTAGGATCTTGGGCATGTATGCATAA